CTTCAAAGCCATCTGGATGGCCGCTCCACAGATGTTTCCATCGATTCCAGATTTGGCTCGGGTCTTCCCTCAACAACAGAAGATTGCCATCACAAATGGAGCAAATAAATGAAGAAATGAAATAATATAAAATTTTAACTGACGGAGTATACTAGCACAAGCTCAGTGTGGTTTACTCACAGGGAAGAAACCAAATTCAGCAGATATTTCAGATGATATTTCAGATGTTTCTTCAAAAACAATAATTCATTGCAGGCTTAAAATCATAGGAATATACTCTCCTCTCATCGTTTCGGCCGGCTTGGCATTTAGGTGGAAGCCACCTTTCTGAGCGACTATAAACAGTGTCATGTAACAGTCACGGTAAGTCTACCAACTGTACGTTTCTTTTAAGTGCCAGCGGTTTTCCAATTATAATTAAATTTCAACCTGCAATCTGCAACCCGCGACCTGCAAAATATACCTGCCGACTGAAAGTTACCAGAAGACTGAATTACTGCCGGACTGAAACATTGCTTAAGGTTTCTTTACACGTCTGCATTGGTTGCCGCCACGTTCTCTTTGAAAACACCAGAAACCCGCTGTTGTGACACTCGCACGGCTCCAAAGCATCACCGTTGGACTTTTCAACCACAAAAACTTATAGAAGCCAAAAAGATCAGAAAAGAGAGGTCGAGAAGGGCATTGTCTACTTTACTTTTACTCTACTTTTGAGTCAAGGCCAAGCACATCTACGTCTGGCGCGCCAAGTCAGGAAAGACTGCACAGAAATTGACGTTTTAGGGTCTGTTTTCCTCTACATACCATAAATGTGCCTCTGTGCCCCTCTTACATGCTGTCTCCCCGAAATAAGCACAACAAGTTGAACATAATAAGGTTAAGATCCCCAACTGTGGGAAGTAAACCAGTCGGTTAAGTGAGCATGTCCCTAATGACAAGTACCCAAGAAACCGAGGTTGTTCGCAGCTTGTACCTTACCTAACACAAGGACTGTGTGGAATAGCGTGGTGAATCCCTGTGGCTTGCCAGCAATAATGATTATTGCTGATTAATATCACCATTATTTTGACCTGGACCAAAGATCATAACTTGCAGGTTCGTTGTACTCGGTTTTAAATCTATATTAAGTCCTAGAAATCAAGGACGCTGAAGATTAAAGCCATAAACAACAAAGCCTAATGGCTTACCTTCCAGACGTTTTCGAAAAAAATGTTTGACATATGCAATTATTCTCGCTCTGGAACAAGATCCTTCCACTTGAAGAACATTTCACTGAAGAAGAGAGCCACGCGATCGCCATATTTCCAAGATGGCCACTCATAATCTACACGCTTGAAATTGGGCTTAGCTTTGAATTTCAAACATTTCAAAGTGCAGAGACCCTCCTTATGCACATCCCCAATAATTCCACAAATATTGTGTTCTGGATCCTCCATGATGTGAAGGATGCCTCTGTCATAGGCCTCTGCTCTTTTCATCCGAGGCCCAGTGAAGATGTCCTTTCCATTTGCTGGCCAAAATGACCTTATGTCTTCCCGTTCATACCTCTAGAACAAATATGAACAAATAACCCATCAACTGAATAAACAAAACAAAACAAGGATTAGGAGAATTAACTTGGCTAAGAACTGTCAACAAAACGTGACTTACATTTGAATTCAATATAGGGTCGATTGCGAAAGCGATTAAGAGGCCTCAAAGGGTCCTCAAATTAATACAATGGCCGCGGAATATTCTATATTGCGAGACTACCAGCACAATATCTGTCCGGAAGAGATGTGTTTGTTTCTGCCCCAATCGGAGCTGACGCTTTTGATTGTTTAAATGGAGAGAGTAGCTGTAATAGCAACAATGTCGTCTTGATGGTGGTTCCGCTGATTTCGCTCATGAAAGATCAGGTCTTGAACCTAAATCCACTCGGCATTTCAGTGTCTTACGTAGAAGATTGTTCAGAACAACAGTTGCAAGACATTTTAGTTATTTAAGATATCAATACATTCTGCAAGGCAAGGACTTGCAGAGGTAATCTGAGACATCGCATGCAGTTGCAAGTCACGCCACTCCTCATTTTTGGCGCAAAACGCAAACGAAAATCCTTCAAGCGAGACAAGTTGACCTCTCGCGACTTTGTCGCTCGCTCAACCGCTTCGCAACCTTCGCAGTGATGCCGCTTAGCAGCCTAAAACCTCGCAGCTCGCTTCGCTCGCTTACCTACTATACGCTGAAACCCACGTGGTCGCCTTGTGGCAAGTCTACTTGACAACCTTAAATTTGCATATCCATGCTCGTGCTGCAAACTGTGGCTCTAAGCCGAGATCCCAAACCCACACATATACAAGGGTTTCTGTTACCCATTTTAATTTTACAAATAAGGCTCCCAGGGGTTATACAATTTTTGTTTAACTCGTGAGAGCGTTATTTCGTAAAATTAAAATGGGTAACAGAAACCCTTATATATGTGTGGGTTTGGGCTAAATTGTAGGGAGACATCATTTCATGGCATACTGGTTACCCTGCGATTAGCTGTCTTACCGATACTCTAAGAAATTCATCCCTTTTTCGAAGGTGTTCTTTCTTAATGTGCAGTAACTCCTCCTTGGCCCTTTCCAGTTCTTCTCCTCTTTCCTCTTGTGCCTTGCCTAATTCTCTCTGAGTTTTCTCTTTGGCGATCTGCTTTTCCCATTGATCTTTCCTTTTCTTTTCGTCCCAATACCATGTTGCTTCCAAGACTTCCGCTGCTTTCTCAAACTCGCTGCCACTATTCCTGATTAACTCCCAGACAGGAATGTAACCTTCCACTTCTCCCCGGTCAATCAATGCCCAAGTGGAATTATAGGACAACAGCTTATTAAATGTTACAGGGTTTGCTGCCGGGGGTCCAACGGATTTAACCTCACAGGTAAAGCTAATCGCCGCATCTTCTTTGTGGGAAGTAGTGTTTCGTCCTGCACCACTAGTACTCCTGCCACTGACACTCACTCCAGCCCCAAATGCTCCACCAAGAAAGCCAATGGAAATCTGGTGCTGCAGATGTTTTGCCGCAGCCTCGGTTAAGGTGGACACTTCTATTTCGCTTTTATTTTGGGCATCGGCAATGCTGAAGAAGACCCCACCCAGACTTTGAAGTCCTGACGGAAAGTGACTCCCATAACGTTTCATGAAATTGCGTGCCGCTGCCTTGTCCCTTGACGACAAGCTTGAATTGCACAGAAGGCCACAGAAAGAAAATCCACTGCCTCCTGGGATGCTTACACTTCCATTTCTACCTTGGGCAATAGACAGGGCCATTCTTCTAGCAGACAAAGAGAGCTTCATCTCTTGTCGATCAAGTTGAAATGTTTTCTTCGCAGTTCTAATGTACTGTAGGACTGATGCACTTGTGGTTGAAGCCTTAGCATAGTTGACGGCTTGTTTTTGTTGTTCAGAGCCATAACCTCCTTTCACGTCTCCGACCAATAAACCATGGAACCCTGCCACACTGCCACCAACACTGGAGCTTGATGATTCTACGTTGCGAACGTAATCAGCAGCTACCCCTTTGGCAGAGAATTTCATGACCTTGATCTCTTGAGTAGCACTTGGATTGGTCAAAATTACTTTCTCAGGTACCAAGAGGAGGGGCCTTCCTGCTGTTTTAAGTGGCTCATACTCGGAATAGTAGACCCCACAAAGTGCTCGCCCGCCGCTGGCCTTTGCAATTATTTCTACATTGCTCAGGTACATGTCACCTAATTCCATGACTATACTGTAATGATTAATTATCTGCTCTAGTTGATGAAAAGTTTCCTCTGGTCTCACTGTCTCTGGCTGGAACCATTCCCTCGGTAGCTCTAGAATTTTTAAAATCTCAGTTAGTTTGTAATTCACATTTCTTTTTGACGACTCTGATTGTTCTGTGGCCATTGCTTTAGCTGCAGTCATCAACTCTCTGGCTCTCTCTAGTTTTGGCCCGTCGACAGCCTTAGATTCCTGGTTTTTCTTCACAAGTGTTTCATCTTGTGGAACAGCGAACAGCTGCTCCTTGGGTGACTCAGAAACTGTAACCAGTCGGTAAACCTCTTTCATTTCTCCTTCATTGGCTCCTTGGCAGCAGCTTTCCAGTTCCCCCAAGCTCAGTCTCGGAAGCACCTTCAGGGACGGCGCTCTCTTGCAAAGCCTTTTAACCCAGTCCTTTGTCACATCAATATTTGCTTCAGTGAGCCTTCCAAGTAGTTCAAGTTCTGGTGCTAGTCTTCTTTTAAGATTCTCCAATGCGACGTCCTCTAAGTTCCGTTTGGAATCTTCTCCGCAAAGATATTGAGCAAGTTCGGGTAAATTAGTCAGGTATTTTACCACAAGGGTGAGAGCCCCCATTACCAACCCTCTCCTCTCGAGCAATTTCCTCAGCTCTTCGTCTAATCCAAAGCAGGCAACGGTCTTGAGCTCATTTAAGAGCTTTTCTTTTTCTGCTGTATCAGACATTGCAGCTATCTTGTAATGCAGGTCTCGAATCAGTCCTTCACACTTTGCTGGATCGTTCTGTGGTAAATCAGCCATCACGCTCCTTATTTTATCAGATGCCATCTTCAATGACGGAGCTGTCTACCTATAAATTAAAAAAAAAACGAATAGGGAAGCTAATTTTATATAGTTACCACGAAATAGTAAACATTGCCATGCTGTATGAACTTTAGGAATTGTAGCCTGTTTCAGGATGGAACAGGTTACAATTCTCGGATATTTTCTCGAGGTAAAGTTAGGAATTGAGTTAGGAATGCAACTAAGGTACAGAATTAGAAATCAAATGACTCAACTAGAAATAACTAGAAAATAAGAAGAAATGAGGTTTTGCAAAAATCTGAATCCTTTTTGTGAATCTGTGCGATTTGTCACGGTACCAAACATTTTAACCAAAACTTTTGAATGTCACAAGAAGCGACTTGTCCCTGCGCCCCGTCCCCGTACCGTGTCACCTTAAGTTTGTCCCGACCTCGAGATCAATGCTATCAAGACTGGTTGCCACCAAGAACGAGAATGTGATTGAAAGACTCATACACATACCCACAGTTTATTGCTTTCAATTTCACCACTTGAGTTTGTGCAAGACTCAAAAGCATGATATGGCTACGCTCTAGGATTACCAACCAGACCATTAAGGTTACAGTTATACCTTCAGGGGTGTCTCGTGTCCAAGCGATGTCGCACGTGCATTTTAAGCTGTGGATACCTAAGCCCTATATCAAATTAAAGCTTATAGAGCTGGCTATCAAAATATGCCAACAATTTCGAAATAAAATGAATTGTCGAATTTTTCACGACCATTAAATGCGAGCGCCCGAATCACCTTTCGAAAGCTACAAGTCAAGTTAAAAACGAATTTCGTTTTTTGCCAATTTAATTTTTTCCTTGGTTTCAGGACCCAAGGCGCTTTAAAAATGTGTCTGCGTTTTGGCATATTCAATTGTAGTAAAAAGTTACAGAACATTTTCGAAATAGGAAGAAAAACGATTTTGGAATTAACAATTCCCAGACACACGTTTGTAGTTTATATGTTAAACTAGCTACTGTCCAAATTTGAGGGCAATTGAACAAATTCCCTTTGAGTTATAACTCTTTAAAGTGTCTGCTACAAGT